AAACGTTGAAATGGGAAGTCCTACTCCACCCGCCGTATTCTCCAGACGTTACTCCCTCTGACTATCACTTGTTTCGATCAATGGCACACGGCCTGGTTGACCAGCACTTCTGGTCTTATGAAGAAGTAAGAAATTGAATCGATTCGTTGATCGCTTCAAAAGATGAGCAGTTTTTCCACCGCGGGATTCGTGCGCTGCCCGAAAGATGGGAGAAAGTAGTGGCCAGCGATGGACAATACTTTGAATCATAAATGTATACCAGGTCTGTAAATATGAAACCGGAATTTGCCCATAGATGGCCCCATAGCTGTCAATGTAGTTACCGTCAAAACGCGCCATTGACGCCATTTCCATTTGGTGACATCTGACAAAGATTTTCAACTCACAACAATACAAGTTTCGTACAACAGCATAGTTTGTAATAGCGTTGAACATGTCGAAGTTTGTGCCTGGAAGCTACGATTTGCGGACAGCATTGATTTTGTTACCATTTGAAGAAAACTGCTGCAGAATCGCATCGAATGCTTGTCGAAGCTTACGGTGAGCATGCTCTTAGTAAATCACAGTGCTTTGAGTGGTTTAAAAAATTCAAACGTGGCGATTTTGACGTGAGAAACGAAGAACGTGGAAGACCACCGAAAAGTTTGAAGACAGCGAATTGCAAGCATTGTTGAATGAGGATGACGCTCAAACGCAACAACAACTCGCGGATCAATTAAGTGTGACACGAGAAGCCGTCTGCATACGTTTGAAAGCCATGGAAAAGGTCCAGAAGATGGGAAAATGGGTTTCACATGAACTGAATGAAAGACAGCAGGAAAACCGAAAAACCACTTGCGAAATGCTGCTCGCCAGGTACAAAAGAAAGTCATTTCTCCATCGAATTGTGACTGGCGATGAAAAGTGAATATATTTTGAGAATCCTGAGCGTAAAAGATCATGGGTAACTCCAGGCGAACCATCGATATCGACTGCAAGGCCAAATCGCTATGGACGGAAGACAATACTCTGTTTAGTGGGATCAGAAGGATGCGATCTATTATGAGCTGCTAAAACCTGGCGAAACCGTTAATACTGACAACAAATGATCGATTTGAATTAAACTTTGCGTGAAAAACGACCAAAATATCAAAAAAGGCAACACAACGTGATTTTGCTTCATGATAATGCACCATCACACACAGCAAAACTGGTCAAGGAAACGATTGAGGCGTTTAGTTGGGAAATACTTTCGCATGCGGCTTACTCACCAGACTTGGCTCCGTCCGATTACTACTTATTTGCATCGATGGGACACGCACTTGCTGAGCAGCGCTTCTTACTTCACTTCTTACAAAAATATACGAAAATGGCTCGATGACTGGTATACCTCAAAAGAGCAACAGTTTTTTTGCCGTGGCATCCACAAATTATCAGACAGGTGGGAAAAATGTTTAGCTAGCGATGGGCAATACTTCGAATAAAATATTTTTTATCATTTTCATACAATAAACGTGTATTTTCTATACAAAAATTCCGGTTCCATATTTACGTACCTGGTAACCAGTTTTTTACAATAAAGCTTCGAATTTCGGAAAAAAAACGGCGGAAGCAAAGTTGTACACCTAATAAATCCCCTGGATTTTTTATGTGGATTTCTTAAGAGCATAATGCACTACTCTTCATCGATAAATGACAGAAGTGAATTACTTTAGAGAATAAAAAATTCTCAAATAGTTAGAGCAAAGCTGGGAATTTTTGAGAGAATTTGTAATTCTATGCTAGGAAGATGGGAAGAGTATACAGGGTGATTCAAAATAACCTTCCATTATTAAAAGTATAAGATCCTGATAAAATTCTAAAACAATTTTTCCTCTTGCAAAATTTTGGCAAAAGCTTAGATTTTTAATTATTAACAAAAATAGTAGACCTATTGCGGGTCGGGTACGGGAGATAGACAGGTGCGGCGCAACTCACCGTCAGACGTGGGCGCTAACGCGGAGTACCCGCAGCAATCAGCTGATCACACTACACATGTTATACACTAGCTACGTTCCAATATTCATTGCCAGCATAAAAATCTGTATTTTCTGTGATGTTAGATGATTGTTATAACTGGCAAAAATTTTGGAAAACAGCCAGGATTGTACGCGCACACACATGCAAGCACGTTCTCGGTCTCTCCGAGTCTTTCTGTCTCTTTCTCACTCATTCACTCGTATTTATTGCACGACCAATGCGAAGCGGCGGTCGTGCGTGGTGGGGGATGGACCAATGGACATCCCGCGATGATCATATAAATGCGTTGAAACAATCGATGCGTTAATCAATAATCCTGCGGTTATTGGAAGTGTTAACGTCAAGATGATATGGCAGCATACACGAACGAAGAATATTATGACATGCTATTGACACTCGGAGCCTGTCACGGCCAGGTCGCCGCTGCTGCTCGAAGATACGCCGAGTTATACCCCAACCGAGCAAGACATCCGTCGCACCACGTTACAGATACAAAATACAGATTTTTATGCTGGCAATGAATATTGAAAATATTTTACATATCATTTTTGTATTTTTTCAAAATTAGATAGCCAACTATTTTGCATTTTTTATATTTCTAAAACCCTCCTTTATCATTTCCTTATTTTTCGTTAAAAACGTACGAGTAATATGATCATTAAAATTAAAAACATGATATCAAAAGCCGTTTCAGAATCAACGATATATAATATCAACTAATAATTATTAACTTGGACTTCAACTCAGCTTCGTACGATAAATCTTTTTTTAATTGTATATGTGTGTATACAGGATATACTATTTTAAATGAGCCACACAAAAATCTCAAAAAATGTGAAAGGTATTAAGAAACGTTTCAGACAAAAGTTGTATGATTTCAAGGGGGTAAAACAACTATATTATTTTGTTTACAAATGGCACTACTTTCAAGGTATTCACTAATCATTACTTTTCTTAAATGGAAATCCCACTTTTTTATTATATCATATTTTTCTACCAATTAATTTGAACAATCTTTGTCTGAAAAATTTTTTATTTCCCTAATTTATTTCCCTAATAAATTTAAGGGAAGCTTGGTAACTTTTTTAATATTTAACTTACGATATTTCGCTAATTATTTGTCAGAAGAAAAACTGGTACTAGACTTTTATACTCTATTTGGTCTCTCTTGTTATTACAATAGCGTCCTGACTTTTGTTAATTTGATAATTTTGAAATTTCCAAAGATTGATAAGTTGATATAGTTAATAATGATATAGAAAATAATATAATCTAGACTCTAGACTATAGAAAATGATATAGTCTAGTTTCTAGTCAAAATTATGTAGTTCTTTCTTGTTCCCTTCGAAACCATACAACGTTTGTCTGAAACGTTTCTTAGTATCTTATATTTTTCGAGATTTCTGTTCATTTAAAATGGGACACCCTGTATGAACTGTGTTTGCGAAAAGTTTCCTAAGGAAATGATGTTACGCGTGAAATACTTGAACAAAATCAATAGGAGGTCAATTTCAAGTACCTCCGTTAATATTTGTTCCTCTTTCAAACTCTTAGCCTTTGTCCTCCCTATACGCATTAAGACTATTCGTAATTCATGCCACGCAGGACGAAGTACTTCCGTTAGACGTTACACACATCCTTCTTTCACATCACAATGCAAGCGTGCAGCTTACGTCTTGATATGTCCTCAGCGCATGCGCTCGTGATGTGTGCCGATTTCGATAAGAGGCCTCGAATCCATTTTCGAGAATCTATTTAACGAAGAGATTTTCCAGCGCGAACTTCTTTCTACTCTTCAACTCATTCCTCGCTAATTTTGCGGAACGATGAGAGAGAAGAAAGAAGAAAAAAAAATTAAGGTAAGCAGAGGTAAAACTCCTGTTTAGGAGACCCACCTCAGATAACCTTGTCCATTAGATATATTATTAAGGACACTCTCCTGAGTAATATTCAAGAGGTTTTAGCCGTCGTTGTTTATTAAAAAGTTATAAATAAATGAAATTTTATAGATAGAGCTCATTTTCTTTAGACACAATATACATTAAACAATGTTAAACAGTACATATAAGTGGGAGGAGGCTCCGCTCCTCCCCCGCACCCCCTCCCCAAAAAATCCTAACCTAACTTATTGCATCTTTATATATTTTTGGACATTGTTGAAAAAGTTCTCTTAAGATCTATCACCTAGCCCAACTTAACTTATTATATCTGCATATAATTAAGTGTTGTGGGTTTTAAGGAGATCTTTTCAACAACGCCCAGCAATATATAAAGATGCAATAAGTTAGGTTAGATTAGGATTTGTTTTGGGAGGAGATGCGGGAGAGGAGCGGAGCCCTTCTCCCACTTATATGTATTGTTTCCTATATTTCTATGTATAAACTATGTTTGGATTAACTGTATGGAAGAGTGTCGTACATTGGTTCATTATTCCTTGTAAATATGTTTCATAGGTCTAATATCAACAATAGCTTATTTCATTCTGGTAAGAAATAAAACAACTTATCGTACGATACGACGATAAAAAACTATAATATCTATATACAGTGTCCGAAAGTTACATCATATTCATTAAACTTTCTTAATAACTTTTTAATAAAAGTAAAATAAAGCAGGAAATTAACTAATTAAAATAAAAAAATTAAGCAGAAAAATAACTTGAAACAATTTTGTGGCCTTCAAGTCAACGACATTATCACTCTACGTATTATTTTTGCAGCACTATGTATATACGGACAGATGTAAGAATTTCAAAATCAGACAGATATTAGCAAGCCGGCGAGAAAATAGACGCGAAACGACCGAGGGAGAACGTGACAGTCGTGTTCAAGGAAAGGGGTCAATGGACATTTCGCTTGGGAAGAGGGAAGGGGGATTTTTCGACGATAACAACGAACAGCTGCGATAAAGATCGCCTCGTTACGATCGGTACGAACACTTAACGCCACGGATAATCGCGTTTCCGTGTCAGTAAAACGATCCAATGCCGTGAGATCACTCACCTTGCATAGCGCGACACCAGTGTCCAGTCGGTCCATAAAATTGTCAATATTGATCCGGAGCTCCGGGTACAGAGCATTCAGCCACTCCGCCAGATCCTCCTTCATCGCCAACAGGTACTCGTCCGAGGACCTGAACGGCCTGTACGATCTTGCCTCCAGTAGCACCGCCATGGCCCGATATCTGAAAACAGATTAAATCAGCCGTTGTTTCGCGGCTCGCAAGATACGTCATGAGTGCAAGCGCGCACTGCGATCAATTTCTCATGTGAGAAACGAACGTCCGGAATGCGTCCATTACGCTCGATCGGTTCCCGCTAGCGCATTTCTCCCTCTCATTCCTCAACGTTCCAAACCCCTTTTACTCCTATATTTGCCCCCTCTCCTCTCTTTCTCCCCCCCCCTCTTACTCATTCTCTTTCATTCTCTCCCCCTCTTTCCTTCTCTCTTCTCCTCTCACTCTCCCGCTTTCTCATTCTATCTTTCTCTCTCTCTTATTCTTTCTCCTACTCCTTCTCTCCCACTCATTTTCTCTTACTCTTTCCCTCCCCCCCCCCTCTTTTTCTCTTTTCCTCTTTTTTCTCTTGTTTACGAAATTAATGATCAACGCGTTGATTTTTAGGCTATTTCTGCTGATTGTACAGACTTGACTAATAATTAAAATAAAAGGCTGTTGTAGATAAAAAATGTAATTCAAGATGTGCATGTTTTTACTAGGTGCGCAACTAAGTTTCCAGGTTTTTTGGACCAATGAAAAATGGAAAATTTTCAGAGAAATACAAAAAATGGTTTATTCAAAGTATCGTCCCTCGCTAGCTACACATTTTTGTCATCTCTCTGGCAATACATGAATATCGCGACGATAAAACGATGCGTCTTTGGACCGAAACCATTCATCCAACCGATTTTGCACTTCTTCGAAATTGGCCAAGTGTTGCCCAGCCAAGCCATGCGCCATCGACCGGAACAAGTGATAATCGGAAGGGGCCAGGTCTGGCGAATACGGCGGGTGCGATAGCAGATCCCATTTCAGCATTTTGATGGTGTCCTCGAAGTGCGATGGCACGGAGCGTTGTCGTGCTGCAATATCACTCGTTCGTGTCTCGTGTCCCATTCTGGCCGTCTTACGAGCAATGCATGGTTCAAATTGATCAGTTGTTGTCGGTAGCGATGCCCATTGACAGTTTCGCCCGGTTTCAGCAGCTCATAGTACACGATTCCTTTCTGGTCCCACCAAAGCAGAGCACTGTCTTCTTTCCGAAGCGATTTGGCCGTGCCGTCGATGTTGATGCTTCGCCAGGTGAAAGCCATGATTTTTTGCGTTTAGGATTCTCGAAATCCACTTCTCATCACCAATAACAATTCAATGCAGGAAACTCTTTCTTTCATGCCGTAAAAGCAAAATTTCGGAAGTGGCTCTTCGATTTTCCATCTGTTTCTCAGTTAACTCATGCGGCACCCATTTTCCTTCCTTTTCAATTTTTCTCATGGCATGTAAACGTTTGGAAATACCTTGGCGAGTCATATTTAATGCCTCCGCAAGTTGATCTTGTGTTTGCGTATAATCTTCATCCAATAACGCTTGCAGATCGGCGTCCTCAATTGTTTTTGGTCTTCCGGAGCGCTCTTTGTCCTCAGTGTCGAAATCGCCACTTCTAAAGCGTTTAAACCAATCTTCACAGGTAGTTTTCGATGGTATATGTTCGCCCTAGACTTCTTCAAGCAAACGACGTGCTTCAGCTGCACTTTTTTTCAAGTTAAAGCAGAAAAGCAAAGCTTTCCGCAAATGCTGTTTATTTGGCACAAAACTCGACATCTTCGTTGTTAGAAAAAATATTTTTGCGTTGCGATATGTGTTGGTATTACGACTGGTTATTGTTAACAGATGTCCAAGCTATAAAAAAACACAACTTCAGACATGTCGACTACATGTGTCGTTAGCGCCATCCATATATGAAACCCGAAAACTTAGTTGCGCACCTAGTATTTCGTTTCATTACTTCTCTATCAGTCGTATGATCCAGTTTTCAAATGAAATTAATAGTCAATGTTAAAATAATTTTTATGTTTCTGTTCCCGCTGATTTCGAAATTATAATTTATATAATTATATATATAATTTCGAAATAATATTACAATAAGTTGTTTGTATTCAAAGATCTGAAAAAATTAATATAAAATTTTCAGAAATATTTATATTTAATATGATAATTATAATTATAATTATTATAAATATATAATATCTATAATATTTTAGGGCCTGATGTTGCTAGTGGACTCAAAAATTTTGTATTTTTCTAGTATACTGATTTTCACGGTTTCATGATTCGTTTTTAACTCTGGCATGAATTTTTTGTGAAAAAAACACTATTTTTTAAACTTTATTTATATAACAGAATTAACTAATAATAAGAAATTATACCTTACCAAATACTACTAAGACTTTTACTGAAGTAAAATTACAAAATTACTGAAGTAAAATTACTGAAGTAAAATTCTCTTACTGAAATAAAATTACAAAAAAAAAGTAGTAAAATACACTATTTAGTGTTCGAAAAGTTAAAAAAATGACTTCGAGATAGGTGGTCGCGATATATCGACCACCATATCGCAAAGGGTTAATCTTTAATTTTTTACTATCTACTAATTTTTACAGTACTATCATTATTTTAATTCCCGTGTGCCTCCCTCACGAGAGTACGGCTGTTATATTAGCACCTAATTTCCACTTGAGTTTACCTAATTCCCTCAATTTTTGCATCCGACCATCCGCCTCTCGAACGGATCGAACGTAATTTATCGTCTAGACGAGAGCTAATGTTCGTCATACGGCGATCGCAACGCACCGCGCCGCGCCACTAACGGGGCCTCGATTTGTTTTCTCACGCGATATTTCCACGACCACGAGATACCGTTGCATATGCAAATCCACGGGCGCTATTTCGCGACGCGCAAGACGGATTATAAATATTCGATAAATAAAAACGCGCCTCGCCGCTGGGCAATCGCGCGCTCAGAATGTTGCTATTGACAATAGACGCGATCAGCTCCGGGATTTTCGCGCGCGCTTTGATAAATCCCGCTGCAATATCCTCCACGGGCAACGCGAGATCTCGATTACGCAATTCGGATGCAGTCGAGCAATAATCCGGTTTATCCGCGCGCCCACAAAAAGCCGTTTTCATTCAAGCGCGCGAACGATTCTCGCTCTCTCTCTCTCTCTCTCTCTCTTTCTCTCTCTCTCTCTCTCTTCTCAGCTCAAGAAATAAAAGTTACTTCGGTCTCTTTTTACAGTAGTTACCATGCGGTAATTAACAGATGAATTACGCTATATCGGCGTTTCGTCCTGGAGTCATTGCATACACATAGAGTCCACGTTGCTCCGCTGTTTCTTTCTAACGGTCGTATAAATCTCCATCAGTAGCATTGTACGCACGAGAGACTCGCGTAGAGTAATGCACGGATACACTGCTGGCCGTGGTGTCGCAAGTGAAAACTTGCGATTGTAAGACACCATTTGCTTGCCCCCCACCCCGCGCGCGGCAGATACAACTCTGAATAGCACCGCGTCGTGGAGTGACGTTTCGGCGCGCACTCGACTTTCGTTGAATGGAAATCTTGGCGCGACGGGGCTTTGGTATTTGATAAATAAGCCTACGCCGACTACTACGGCGAATTAATGAGCAGGCATTGCGCGAGCGAGCCGAATGGGCTCGGATGAATTTATGCGTCTGAGACTACGTCGCCTGGATTCAGTAGAAGACTCGCGGCCGAGCGATAAATTTTCGTCCGACCGGGCGCGTGTTCTCCCGTGGCTGAGGAGGGAGCGAGGGTGATTGTTTCGCGTGTGTCGTGGAAAGCATCGCGTCACCGGAAATCGTGAGCCCGTCAGTCCCGTTCAGATGATACCGAGACGTTGATTTTTAATTATTAGGCTGGCAAGAAAGTCATATAAATAAAAAGCGATTTTTTCATACAAAGCAACAATTTTACTCTGTAATATATTGTCCGTTCAATTCAATGATCTTTTGCCATCTGTTTGGTAGCTTTATGATTCCGGCCTCATATAGCTTCTAGTCCTTATCGGCGAAAAACTGATCCAATTACCGTTTGATAGCCTCATCAGAATCGAATTTTTTTCCTTTCAAGGAATTTCGCAAAGAACGAAATAAATGGTAATCTGATAGTGCAAGGTTAAGTGAATATGATGGATATGGTAACACATTCCATCCAAGCTGCAACAATTTCTGGCGGGTGACCAACGATGTGTGTGATCTAGTGTTGTCATGGTGAAAGACAACACCTTTACGACAGTACGATTCCGAATCAATCGTTTGAATACATTTAAGCAATTCAAAAAATACAACACTCTTGTAATTTCACCAAACAGGTAGCAAACTTCCTTTTATGAATGTCTACTTTAGAAGTCCTTTGTGGCGGCTCGTCACGTTTATTCCATGATCTTTTTCGTCGCACATTGTCATAAACAATCCAACGCCAGTTAACATTCATTTCAAGACTCGATCGTTTTGCTTACGTTACAGGAAAGAATCCTGATATTGATGCGTTTGGTAAGATGAATTTCTTTCAGCTCGTATGGAACTCAAATATCGTGTTTGTTGACATATCCAAGTTCTTTTAAATGATTTCCAATGCTCGTTTAACTTCTCAGCAGTCTCCCGTGTCGTATAATGGCGGTTGGATTCAAGCAATGCTTTTATTTTATCATTATCAACTTCAATTGGCCAGCCCAACCGTAATACATCTTTCACAGAAAAATCTCCTGAACATAAACAGGCAAACCAACACTAGCGTTCTGTTAAGGATTCTTCAGCATATACATGACATAACTTTTGACGAGCTTGCACAGCGTTCTTTTCTTTCTGGAAATAAAAAAAAATAAAATATGGCGGAAATGCTTGTTTTGATTTTTCAATTCTCAATACCAAACAAATAATTCTTTACCGAATGATGCACTTTTTCTTTAAGAGAGCTTGAAATGTCAGCTGTCGAATGATATAAAGATTATAGGATTTGAAGTGAAGTTAGTTACATTTGACAAGTAAAGCCATCTATCCGTGAAAAACGATATGACTTTGTTGCCAACCTGATGTATTGTTTTATAACTAAGGGTGATCACACAATCACTCGGAAGACGTTGTTTGTCGCACGTATGTCATATATA